GAAGTCTTTAATGCGATTTCATCAAAAACACTACTTTTCCTTGAAAGCGTTGCAGAGAAGGGACAGCCTTAGAGCTGAAAAGCTTCACCCAGTTCCATTGTCTATCAGTAAAAAGGAAGATAAAAATTCAGGTTTCCATATGAATTACCTGTTTCCATTCCATGTCATTTAAACATCCTATGCTGATGGTTTGTAAATCTCTCTGCAAACCACGACCGAGCATCAGACTACACAAAACCTTGAAATGGGGGTACTCCATGTGCTGTATTTACCTTACATCTATATCCAAGCCTTCTTCTTTACACTGCTTTATACCCTCAAGTACAGTTTCAACATACATCCTTTTGGTCATACCTACAAACACACGTACATATTTGGAATAAACATCTTTGAATTAATTTTATTATGTTGCAGACCCAGCTCTCTAGCTTCATAAGTTTCATTTTGCACCTTTGATTCTAGTCCATAGTCTTCTAACCTATATAGTTCTAATTCAGTTCATAAATATAGCTCTACTTTGAAGCATACATTTGAATTAAGCCTCCTCCTAAGCATCTGAAAGAAGAGAACTTAGTGTGAACCACCGAGTAACAAGAGGACTTCTCTTACGTGTTTCTATTAAACAGCATCTAAAAGAAAATTACAAAGCAAAGTAACAAAAATATTATCTACCAGCTATTCAAAATATTAGCAGACTCAGATGTCAGACTAAAGCAAATAACTCACGTTCTTGGGTAGTGGAGTTATAATGAACCCATTTTTGTCCTCAATAATCTAATAGGAAAGTGTCACGTTTTTACATTGTTAAGCCTTTGCTTTTAAATATAAAGTTTATTTTTATCAAACCAACTAAATTTGACTTTACTTGTTATTAACATAATCTTAACTAAGTTTTATAGCACACCAGATTTACAAATTAAAAACCAGAACAAACTGTACCTGTGGACTTCTCTTCTCTAGGAGTGCTCCTCAATTCCAGATACTTGACACCATCATCAGCAAATTCTTTAATAACATCTTTAGTTATCTGATTAAGAAACAGTGTATTCAACATCATGAAAGTAATGCTTGTAATTGGTTGTATTTTCCTTTACAACTAGAAGACCCAGGTATCTTTTGGTGTGAAACACTTGCAAAATTTTCAGGCCCTATGCCTATAGCGCTCTCCATCTGTGGAAATACTGCCCCACAGAGGGCAGCTCCAGTTCCCTCCGTGAGACTAAGGAGCTTTAGGACAAATGACAATTTCCCCATCTGAACAGGAATACTCCTCAATTGGTGCAGTCTCCGCCCCTCTCACAGCTACTGCACCCCGCTGCAAGCGCAACAGGCTGCCTGAAAGCCCCTTTCCTGGAGCAGAGAAGAGGATACTACACCACCTTCTGCTCCCTGTTTCGATCAACAGTCCTCCGTGGCAGCTCTGTAACCCGAGGCCAACAAAGGGCAACTCGAGTTCTGTAGTTTTGCTACGTACTGAACCAAAGAGGAAACAGGAGACCAAGGAAAATCAGAGCTTTGGTAACAATGAGCAGACATCACATTTTTAAGACGCTATCAGTCCAAGCAGCTGAGTGGTCCTAACAACCACCATACTGGAAGGTCATTGCTTTCACAACAAGTTAATGCGAAGGTAAAGGTTATATAAAATCCCGTGTTTCTAAATTCATGTGTTTTACAGTAACAATTCTGCTCTCCAATTGAAGGGACCATTGCTGATATTGTTACTTGGAACCCAAAGCTCTTAATCCAACTAATTCTGACTGTGTGTATTGCTTGCTTGTTTGAAGCAAACTTTCAATTAACTTACCAGTAAAATATCTTCAGTCCTAGTGGTAATCTGATAAATGATCTGAAACATCTGAAAACACCTAAAACAAAAAGTTAAACAATTAATTGGACAAATGTTGATCAGTAAAATGAGTATTCAAAAAAAAGAAAAAGAAAGATCTGCGCTTTGGAAACATGTACTCACTACGCTCAATTAAGCAGCTTGTAGCTTAAAATGCACAGACCATTGGAATGGTGATTTCTGATTTTAGATGCTAACGCCACATTGGCAACAGTAATCATTACCACCACAAAGCTTTTTGAAAGACAAAGTAAAACATTAAGTTTCCAAAAAAGGAAACTATATGAGTCAATTTGCTCTGAAGAGCATATGCTACAGGGGAAAATTTTCAGTTCTTTAAAAAGGGAATTAATCAGCGTGAGATTTCCATTTAGTTTGCAAACACCTAAGAAGTTATTGTATAGATACAAGTAGAAAAAAAATCTAACAGATTGTACTGTAACTAAAACTCCAATATGCATTTTCTGCCGTCAGTGTATAAGGCCATACATGTGTCTGCTTTGAACTCGATTAGAAGACACTGGGTAAGTGTCCATCGCTCACACACACGTATACTCACTCATCTAAGGTCCTTTTCTTTCCTTTGTCAATCACAGTCATTCCATTCTGGATCTGAAGGTTCGGCTTCTGGGCCATAAGTTTCTTCATAGTGGCAGAACTGATGCAGCCGTTCAAATGAGCATGAAGTTCCTAGAGGAAAAAAAAAAAAATCCTATGGATTTGTGTCCGGTGGAAAGGATCGCTTCTACATCTTGCTTGTATGACTGTTTTCGTATCCTGCATTACTGTTTCACTCTGAGTTTAAACCAACAGCTATCTCTGTGTTTGGCTAATAACTGTTTCCCAACGCTTTTGCATGCACCAGTTCAACTGAGACCATCCCATTTGCTCCTTCTCCCCAGTGGCTGCTGCCAGCACTGATCCCGGCGGGAGCGCGGCTGGCTGGGGAAAGGCAGCTCCAGCTCCTTCTGGGAGCGCAGCAATTCAAGGTGAGGCGGAAGCCAGCAGCTGCCTCAGAATTAAGAAAAGGGAAATAAGGACGCAAGAAAACCGTCCACTGCAAGTTAAATGTACATGTATGTTGTTCGAAAATAGCAACATCTGTACATCCACTCCCCTTGCTTTTTTTCATACTTCGACGTTTTAACCCACACCAGAGATAGAGCAAGACGCTACCTCTACCCATTGATAGCAACTGGAGTATTTGCCCTCCTTTGCCCGAGACTGCTTTCTGCCTGCCTTTCTCTTGACAACCTGCCTTTGGGGTCTGCTCCTGTGATCCTCAGCTCCATTCCTCACCTCACCTTTGCTCCTTCTTACGCTCTCTCGGCTCCTCACACACAGAACAGGTCGCCGGAGCCCTCCCTGCTCCCGCAAAACCCACCTGCACAAGCAGCTGCTTTGTTACCCGCCCTCTTGAACACATCCCTTCTCTTGAAATGGTAACTCCCTAAACATTTAATTTTATTTTTGTGAAGTATTATATTTTACATTCCTATTTTAAAGCATTACATTCATGAGCAGCAGAAAAGGGGTCAGGTTATCGTAAACCGTGAAGGTGCACAACTCCAGGCCAACAGCAGGAGCTGTGGCTGCCTACCGCTTTGGGAAATCGCGCCAGGAACGTACTGCTGCTACCGTGTGGCATTTTTCACAGTCTGAAAAGTGAAATACCTCACAGGATTCAGTTAGACATTAAGCATCGACCCTGAAAAACACCTCACTGAAGAGGAGCGCGGGAAGGTGGGCACGGTGTGACTTGATGGTGTGCCCGTGCATTCGCTGTCAGCTCTCCGCTGGAGTACGCGCCCCTCGCTGTTTCCAAAGTCCCCAAGGGCGACACCGATAACGCCGCAGCGACACGGACGGCACAGGAGCACAGATACGCTACGAGCCGGGCACACCCTTCGGGGCACGGAAAAAAAAGCGTTATCGCAGACGGACTTACCGGGCTAGCCCCGGGGCGCACCGGGACAGACACAGAAAACAAACATCACGCTCCACTGATTGAGCCGGCAGGAGGTCAGACTCTAAGACCCGCACGCAGGCGGGACAGGCAAAGCCCCGCTGGGGGTCACGGGCCTCGGAAGAAGCGCGTTTGATAAAACCCCCGAGAACACCGCAGCC